GAGAGTCTATTCTATTGGCTTTCAAAAGCCAATAGAATAAAAGGGAGTAGCACAGCTAAGGAAAAGGGGGAAAAAAATGGCGGACTGCGTTGTTTGGCGACCCCCGTGAAATGGTCGTTCGACCCCAAATGGGGTCCCGACCCACAGGTTGAGAACCACTGACCTAGAGGGAAGGAACTGTTTTTCAGCTGAACAACCCCAGTGTGGGGTGGGGGCTTCCTTCTGGAGGATGTTCCTTCTCTGCAGCATGAAGGTTCCTCCTGTTAGGCTCCCGGAGAGCCCGTGTTCCACAGGAGTATAATATGAGAACCAGGTTGATCTAGTGGTGAAGGTGCAAGCCTAGAAACCAGGAGACATTGAGTTCTAGTACTGCCTTAGGCATGGAAGCTGGGTGGGTGACTTTGGGCCAATTACCAGGAGACTGGGAGTTCTAGTCCTGCCTTAGGCAGAAAAGCCGGCTGGGGGACTTTGGGCCAATCACCAGGAGACTGGAAGTTCTAGTTCCACATTAGGCATAAAAGCCAGCTGGGTGACTTTGGGCCAATCACCAGGAGACTGGGACTTCTAGTCCCGCCTTGGGTAGAAAAGCTGGCTGGGTGACTTTGGGCCAATCACCAAGAGACTGGGAGTTCTAGTCCCACCTTGGGTAGAAAAGCTGGCTGGGTGACTTTGGGCCAATCACCAGGAGACTGGGAGTTCTAGTTCCACATTAGGCATAAAAGCCAGCTGGGTGACTTTGGGCCAATCACCAGGAGACTGGGACTTCTAGTCCTGCCTTGGGTAGAAAAGCTGGCTGCGTGACTTTGGGCCAATCACCAGGAGACTGGGAGTTCTGCCTTAGACATGGAAGCTGGGTGGGTGACTTTGGGCCAATCACCAGGAGACTGGGAGTGCTAGTTCTGCCTTAGACATGGAAGCCAGCTGGGTGACTTTGGGCCACTCACCAGGAGATTGCAAGTTCTAGTCCCACTTTTGCCATGAAAGTCGGCTGGGTCACCAGGAAACAGTGAGTTCTAGTCTCACCTGCCAGCTGAGTGACTTTAGTTCAGTCATTGTCCCTCTCAGCCCAACCCACCTCACAGGGTTGTTGTGGGGAAAATAGGAGGAAGAAGGAGTATTAGGGAGTATGTTGTCTGCCTTAAATTACTTAGGGGGATGTCTTGCAGGAGACCCTCCAGTGTGCACAATAAATAAATCGATTATTTCCTTTGGCTCCTGTGTTTTAATTCCACAAAGAGCATCTTTCTTTTTTTTTTTTTTTTTGCTATCCCTGGTCTTTGCAGATATACTGCCACTGATTCTGGAGGTTCTCTGTGTTAGGTTAGTGGGGGAGTTAATCACCCTGAAAGCGTCTCTCGCTCAATCTGGATCTTTTAACAGGGGATCAAAACAGCCTGCCAAGCCACTGCTGGGTTGTGTCTATTTTGCAAATGTTCTCCCTCTCTTGCTGTCAAAACTGCAGTCCTGCTATCAAAGCCCTTTTACATTTTGCAAAAGATCAAGGACCTGACGTAGATGCTGGGAAAAAACTGAGCTTGCGGTTAAATCCGCTCTTCTTGGACCTGTTTTTACCCATCTGTAACAAGAGAAGGAAAGAAAAGGTGGTGCTAGAGCAGGCAGAAATTCAACCAGTGAAGCTCTCCTTCCATCTACCCCTCCATCCTCACCTTCCCAGCAGGAATATATATCTATGTCTATATATATATATCAGCATCTTTTTTTCCAGCCCTTGTCAGCTCAGTAAGATGACCCGGGTCGGGGGTCTTGAATTTCCAGAGCTGTAGAAGCACTTTGTCTTAGCTTTTTGCTTCTCTGGACTGCTGAACTGCTTGCTCAGTCAAGTTTGCAAATCCATGTTCTAATTGGCGTGAACGGGAAAGCCGCTCATGAGACAGACTGGCGAGATCCGGGTTCAAACTTTGCAGGAGCAGTAAAATGGGGGTGGTAGAAGGGGCTGGTAGACTGGTTGCCCACTGAAGACCAGGCTGTTTCAGACCGCTTGAGGAAGTGAGCCAAGCTGGACGCTAGAAGGGAAAAAGTTTACAACACTGATCAAGGGCAAAAAGGAACCCAAAGAAGCAAACAGACAAATAAAGCAGAAGGCTGTAATTGTAGAAAGAGGAGTGTTGGACTCTAAAGGAGATTGTGAGGGAAGGGCTGGACTCGCTCGGAGGGGTGCAACAGCAGGCGGAGAACGCTGGAGGTGGGTAATGAGGCGGCTGAGTTTAATGGCCTCTAAAAGAAAATGGGACTGGAAGCTTATGAAGGCCTCATAAACCCAATGAGCATCTGGCCCCTTCTGTGGCACATGGGTGCGTGCCTGATCATGGAAGCAAGGAGGCAAAGAGGAGGCAGGTGCAGGAGGGGCTCATGTATTGGATGGATGAGGATGTTAAAATCACCAAGAACAGAAAGAGAGAGAGAAAAAGAGAAAGACAGAAAAAGAAGAAAGAGAAAGAGGAAAAGAAAAAGAGAGAAAGAAAGGGCAAGAGAAAGAGAAAGAGGGAAAGAAAAAGAGAGAAAGAGAAAGGGCAAAAGAAAAAGAAAGGGAGAAAGGAAAAGAAAGAGAGAAAAAGGCAGAAAAAGAAGAGAAAGAAAAAGGAGAAAGAAAGGAAGAAAAAGAAAGAAAGAAAAAAAGAGTGAAAAAGAAAGACAGAAAAAGACAGAAAGAAAGAAAAAAGGAGAAACAGAAAGGAAGAAAAAGAGTGAAAGAAAGAGAAAAAGAGACCGAAAGAAAGAAAAAGAGAGAAAGAGATCTAGCTTAGAGGCTGTCTTTCATTTGTCAGAATTACTTCTCTATTTGTTGGCAGCCGGCTGGCTCTCCCTCCTTTAGTCCTGAGCAGGAAATGTACTCAGATATTCCTCTGCACTTACTGGCACATTTATAATATATTTATGTTTCTATATATCTTTCCTGACATGCACCTTTTTTTTTTTTTCTTTTTGCAAACAATGTCTTTGGTGCATACATTGATCTGATCTGGTGATGGTTTCTGGGCCTCATCAGTCATGCAAACGGCGTCCCTATATTGAAATATTTTTTAAAAATGCAGATTCAAGATAGCGTTGTGGGTATCATGTACACTCATCACCGTAGATTTGAAGGAACCGAGGGAGGAATTAAAACCTAAAGGAAGGGCGGCTGGTTGCGAATGACGCAGGTAATGGCCGCAGCTAGGGATGTGAGGAGCGAAGATGGGGCCGGGTATCTGGTCAAAAAAATCAAAATGGGGTCCAAGCCTCACCCTTTTTAAAACTTGTGTGGGGCGCATTTTTATGTACATTGCATGCAGTTCCCACCCCCAAGACCCCCGCAATCTCCTCATGCCTTCCGCAGTCCAGCCTAGCACATTGCATTGATGGAGGTTCCTGGAATAGGAGCTGATCTCAGCAAAGCATCAGCAGCCAACAGACTCTCCTTGCAGGTCAATATCCTGGCTAAGCAGGCAAGCAGGGTATGTGCGTGTGTGCAGTGGGGAGAGGAACCCTGGGAAGAGCAGCTGAGGGACATTCCTGGGGGACAGGGCATCTGTCCCATTTGAGCCAGGGGAATTGTCATTCACAGCTATGACTTAACAACAGTTTGTTTCCTGACCATATAGGAAACCCTATCCCATTTCAGACAAATGGTTGTCCAGTCTCTTCTTAAAAACTTCCAGGGTTGGAGCATTCACCGCTTCTGGAGGCAGGTTGTTCCACTGGTTAATTGTTCTGACAGTCAGGAAATTTCTCCTTAGTTCTAGGTTGCTTCTCTCCTTGATTAGTTTCCCTCCGTAGCTTCTTGTCCTGCCTTCAGCGCTTTGGCGAAGGGCTTGACTCCCTCTTCTTTGGGGCAGCCCCTCAGATACTGGAAGACTGCTATCATGTCAACTCTCATCCTTCTCTTCATTAAACTAGACCAGGGGTAGGCAACCTTGGCTCTTTTATGACTCGTGGACTTCAACTCCCAGAATTCCTGAGCCAGCCAGGCTGAGGGGAAAGGGAGAGGTTTCCAGGCTGAGCCATGCTGGCTCAGGAATTCTGGGAGTTGAAGTCCACCAGTCATGAGGGGGCCATAGTTCCCCTATGCTGGCTCAGGAATTCTGGGAGTTGAAGTCCATGAGTCATGAGGGGGCCATATTTTCCCCATGCTGACTCAGGAATTCTGGGAGTTGAAGTCCACGAGTCATGAGGGGGCCATATTTTCCCCATGCTGACTCAGGAATTCTGGGAGTTGAAGTGCACGAGTCATGAGGGGGCCATAGTTCCCTCATGCTGGCTCAGGAATTCTGGGAGTTGAAGTCCACCAGTCATCAAAGAGCAAAGGTTGCCTACCCCTGAACTAGACATCCCCAATTCCAGCAACCGTTCCTTGTATGTTTTAGCCTCCAGTCCCCTGATCATCTTTGTTGCTCGTACTCATTTGGTTCATACCAGCACCCCGAGGTCAACCGATCCGCTTTTGCAACCTTCACTTAATCAACTGTGGTGAGAAAGGTCGTAAAATGGGGCCAAGCTCACTTAACAAGTGTCTCACTTCGCTACAGAAATTTTGGGCTCAGTTGTGGTCGTAAGCCGAGGACTACCTTTACAAGCCTCGGTGGTCCCAAAGATGCTTCACCCCCAACCCAAAAAAGTAACTGGACTTTCTTGGCATGTTCTTTGAAAATATTTTACTTCTTCTCCAAGACGTTTCTTCAGTTAAAGAGGGGTTGTTGTGAGGAAAATAGGAGGAAAATGTGTGGGAGAGGTTTGCCACCTTGAGCTTTGTGTAAGTAAATAAACAATAGGTTTGTGTAAGTAAATAAACAATACTGCACCCGCATCCTGCAGTAAGAAAAATATAATTAAAAATCCCCAAAAGAGAGCTGACCACCTATATATATATATTTTACCTCAGTTTGACCTTAAAGCCTTGGCTGTTTAGCTTTTTTTTTCCCTGAGACACGATCGCCTCCTAGTGGACAGTTTCACTGTTTTCTCCATTCAACAGAGGAAACAGATTGACAGGTATTCAGACACAAAAGGCTAATCAATTTGATTTAATTCTAAAAGTCCTGCTTTCTCCACTGTATCTAAGGTTTTGAACAGAAAAAGCTGATACAGTAGTGAACATCTTCCTCAAGAGGAATAAGTTAGAAAAGTCATTAAAAAAATTCAACCCTCTTTCCAAAATGACTGGGGTGATTGTGCTATAATGCAGTGGTTCCCAATCTATGGTCAGAGGGGGGCTCTAGTGGGCAATAGTAATATCCCTTAGACTTATATACCACTTCAAAGTGCTTTACAGCCCTCTATAAGTGGTTTACAGAGTCAACACATTGCCCCCAGCAATCTGGGTCCTCATTTGACCGACATCGGAAGGATGGAAGGCTGAATTAACCTTGAGCTGGTCAGGATCAAACTGATGGCAATAGGCAGAATTATCCTGCAATACTGCATTCTAAGCACTGGGCCACCACGGTTACGATGTCATCACAGGGAGTCCACAAAGCTTTGAAGAAATGCTATGATTTAAATCTTGAGTTCAGTCTTAGGAGGTCCGTGGCTGTGGTCCATGGCCACAAAAGGTATTTGAAGGGGGTTTGTGGTGAAGAAAAAGGTTGACTACCACAGCTATAATGCATGAATGCTGATCATGCAGTCACCGTCCAATAGGTCCTCTCTTCCCAAAATAGGGAAACGGGATTGCTGAGAGATGTTCACCAATAGCAATGCTTGCGAAGTTCCAGACAGAATAATAAAATCACGGTAATCCATCCAGGAAAAAAAAAAGCACATGTTATGAAAACATTGCTAGAAACATCTGGATTGTCCTCCCCAAAGTGTTTGCTTTTGTTCTGTTGGGAGGCAAGCTGGGTTGAAGCATCAGAACTGTGAGTGAGCCCACATCGCCTTCATTCGGCAAGTAGACCCCGTTGAATTGGGTCTCTTAGACAGAAGCCCACATTGCTGTTTTGGATTCCACCAACCGAACAGCACAGATCAGCGCAGATACGACCCTGGAAGAGGATAAAACGCACCACTCAGGAAGACCAAAATGGATTTAGCTGGGTAGAAGTCAGAAAACATCTCATTTGGTGCCTTTTCTACTAGCAAAATAAGTTTGAATGCCGCAGCGCAAGACCCAGGCTGCCCATAGACACCATAATTCGCAACAAATGGGTGGATAAAAATTCTGAAATCTCAAGGTGGACCTAGAACCGGTTGGTTCTAGATCACGGGTCTGCAAACCTGGCTCCTTTAAGCTCTGGGGACCTCAACTCTAGAATTCCCTGAGCCAGCCTGGGGAGAGAGCACAGCTGGCTGAGGAATTCTGGGAGTTGAAGTCCACAAAGTTGCCAAGTTTGGAGACCCCTGTTCTAGACTGTAGTCTACTTACCGACTCCTGGACTGTCTGCAAGCAACTCAGTGGCTAGGATTCCTGTCGCCTCTCTTCAAACGGAGAAGCCGCCGAGCTGTCCCATGAGGCGACGGATGGAGGCTGTTCTTGAGGAAGGCTTGGCAAGGGGCGATCCCTGATCCAGTGGGTCGAAGGTGAGATGGTCTAAATGGGCACCAGAAGGAATGGATTGGCGTGGTGAGGAGATACCTGGCATCAGCCTCTAGACCAGTGGTTCTCAACCTGTGGGTCAGGACCCCATTTGGGGTCGAACAACCATTTCACGGGGGTCGCCAAACAACGCAGTCTGCCATTTCCCCCCCCCCCTTTTCCTTAGCTGTGCTACTCCCTTTTATCCTATTGGCTTTTGAAAGCCAATAGAATAGACTCTCTTGAATAGAGTCTAATTCTATTGGCTTTCAAAAGCCAATAGGAATTGTCCAGGCTGTCTCTGCCCTGCTGAGCCCGCCAAAAGCCCCATTCAGCAAACGGTGCTGCACCAGTTGAATAGTCCTCGACTTACGACAGGTTGAGTAGTCCTCAACTTATGACCAGTTGGGGGTCACGGCATTAAAAAGGTTGAGAACCACTGCTCTAGACACCCAGGGGTCCCTATTCCCATGACAAAATGCAGGTAGTCCTCAACTCACAACCACAACAGAGCCCCGAAGCTAAGTAATTTTTTTTGCCCCACTTTACAACCTTTCTTGGCACAGTTGTTAAGGGAATCACTGCAGGTGTTAAGTTAGTGACCTGGTTGTTAAGTTTCCCATGAACTTTGCTTGTCAGAAGGTCGTTAAGGGACACACTGCAACCGTCATAAATATGAGTCTGTTGCCCAGGGTTTGAATTTTGATCACGTGACCACGCGCATGCTGCAAAGGTTGTAAGTGTGAAAAATGATCACAAGTCACTTTTTTTCAGGGCTACTGTAACAGTCACTAAGTGGACTGTTGTAAGTTGAGGACTCCCTGTACTTCATTTCATTTACCTGGTAGTCTGGGAGAGGAAGAACTGGGGGCTTCTGCTGCAGGAGATCTAGCCTTGGGGGTATCGGAGGGGTTTGCAACCCGGGGTCTAGATTGGGACAGGGAAGGGGATCCGCTGTCTGGAGTAGAGAAGGGAGAAAGGACAGGGTTAATTCTTCTCTCCCCACTGATTTAGCATCCTGAGGGAAAAGCAATCTGTCAGACTCCCAATCCACGCAAACCAGGAGGAATGTTCTGATGGATCAGGGCTTTGCATTCGGGCCAGTCAAAAAAAAGGAGAGGGGGAGGGAATATTTCAGTAATTTCTCTACCGGTTCAGATGATTGATGGGGGCCCCTGTTTCCACAGAGATAAAAAAACCCCGGCTGTCATGGTTCCGACAAATGAAACTCTTCAAGGAACTTCGAGGCATTGTTTACCTTAAAGAATCTTTGTTCGAGTAGCATAGCATCCGCACGTACATAGGCGAAGCCAAAATCTGAATTCCCCTCCCCTGAGTACATAGTATCAAAGCACAATTCCCTCCTCCAATTAACAGTCTTAAATCACATTCTCCAATTAGTTTGAAAGGCAGGCTTCCCCTCCAGTTCTTCAGCCAGCCAATTCTTATCATCTCTTATTTCAAAAAACCTGGGTTCTCACCCTAGTTACAATATTGTTATGTCTAACTAAACTCCCATGCACCTTCCTCCTCCCCCCCCCATATCATCTAATTCTAATTCTAATTCTAAGAGTAAAACATAAGAAGGAAAATGGCTGCATCTCCATATGCTGTCAAAGCAAGAACATCCGATGTTAGCAGCGTTGACACCGGCAAGACGAGGAAAGAGCCAGTTTGGAGTAGTGGCTAAGGCACCGGGCTAGAAACTGGGAGACAGTGAGCTCTAGTGCTGCCTTAAGCATAAAAGCTGGCTGGGTGACTTTGGACCAATCACCAGGTGACTGAGAGTTCTAGTGCTGTCTTTGGTATGAAAGCTGGCTGGGTGACTCTGGGCCCAATCACCAGGTGACTTGAGAGTTCTAGTCCCACCTTTGGAATGAAAACAGGCTGGGTGATTTTGGCCCAATCCCCAGGAGACAGTGAGTTCTAGTCTCACCTTAGCTATGAACGCCAACTGAGGGTATTTGGGCCTGTCCCTCTTTCTCAGCCCCACTCTACCTCATAGAGTGGTTGTGGGTAAAAATAGGAGAAGGATTAGAGAAGTATTAGACAAGTTCAGTGCATTGAGTTATTTGTAAAAATAATAAAAGTGGGATATAAACTAATAAAATTAAATTAAATTAAAATTACATTAAAAAAGGAGACCGACATGGAATGTTGAGGAGGTTACCACCTAGGATGGGATAAAAATGGTGGACATGCATTCAGACTCCATCTTATGTTACCTGGTTGGACTATGCATCACATATCTTAAAGGGGGCAGGGTCTCAATGCTGCGGTCCAGGCTGCCACCTTTTAATCCCTCTTCCCCCGTGCCCCTGGCTGCAACAGAGATGCCCCTCAAAACTCTTCCCAAGGCTTGCCCGTCTCATCTCACACTGACCCCTTGAGTCTGGCGCATGAGCATCAGCTGTTGTAACACCATGTCCACGTCTTCCAGGTCCCCCTCGTCGCTCTCATCCTTGGCTGTCGGGCTCCCCTCCTGGGAGCTGTAGGGGCTGACCTCCACCTCTTCGTGGCCCCAGATCGTCTGGCGACAAAAGGGGCAGGTGGGGGATTTTGAAAGCTGGCAAGAAGCAGAGAGGGTCCCGTTAGGATTTGCTGCCCCACGACTCAACCCTGCGCGAGGGACAAGGTTCGCCCAATGTCAGGTACGAACAACCAGTTCCTCACAGTTCAGTTAGCTACTCTATTGCTTATGCCTATTTACAGGAATCTTCCCAGATTGGCAGTTTGCCCCTAGGCCAGACTAGATAAGATTCAACAGCATTCAAGGTGTCAAATCTTGCTCTCTTGTGCCTACGTAAAGATTCCAGATTAATTGCCTACTTGACTCCTCCTTCTGGCTCCACTGGTCTCTCTCCGACACCCAAGGGGGGAAAGGAAGGAGAAAAAAGAAGGGGTCTTAAGAAACAGAACTTCCATGTTCTTTCCACCACAAGTGGGCCCTCTTAACCCCCCAAACCTGCAATGAAAACTGGGTTGTGGGAATAGTCTTCCCTCCTGGGTTCTCCTGAAACTGGAAGCTCCAGAAAGAGAGCAGAAGGAAACAGCTTCTAATCTAGACTTTGTGTTTGAGATAGGTGAAAAAAAATTAAATCTTAATTTTGGGATTGGCTGACTAGCTGGTTTGCTACAGAAATGGCGACTATTTACTAAATGTAGGTAGTCCTTGACTTACCACCAGAATTGAGAGAAAAATTTCTGTTGCTAAGTGAAACATTTGATAAATAAATGGGCATTGCTCCATTTTACGACCTTTTTTGCCACAATTGTTAAGTGAATAACATGGTTGTTAAGTCCATCTAGCTTCCCCATTGACTTTGTTTGTCAGAAGGTCACAAAAAGGATCACATGACCCCAGGACACTGCAACCGTCATAAGTGTGAGTCAGTTGCAAAAATGGCTGAATTTTGATCACGTGACCGTGGGGATGCTGGAGCGGTCACAAGGGTGGAAATCGGTCATCGATCACTTTTTTCAATACTGTTGTAAGTTTCTTCGGTCGCTAAGTGGAACAGGGGTAAGTCGAGGACCCCCTGTATTTGACTGCACTGAAAAAAGTTGGAGCTTAATGCTTTTTTCGCTTTCCCCCCCTTTCCTATTTCCCTACAATTTTTCTTTTCATTTGTATTTTATAGTATGGATCCTCTTCATAAAAAGGTTCTGAATAAAAAAATAAAATAAAAACAGAAAGGGAAGACAGGGAATCACCTGCCATGACTTAAGGCACTCCCGGCAGAGAAGATGCCCGCAAGGTCGAATCTGGACGTCCTTGTTGTTCTCGGCGCAGATTTTGCAAAGCTGGAAGGTGGATTCCACCTGGCTGTAGAGCTCAAACTGTTCCTGTAGTGGAAGAAGAGGCAGGCCGAGGTGTGAAACCGGAGTCAAAATACAGTGGTACCTTGGTACTCATCCTTAATTGGTTCCGGGAGGCGCAAGGAGTACCAAACAGGTTTTTCCCATCAGAAATAGTGAGTGAAAATAGTGAGTCACGCGAGGCAGCTGACAGCAACTAGTGCTAGTATTCTGTGCGTTGAGTACTAAACAAATGACGAGTACTGGGACAAAATTTTCATGTCAAAATGCTTTGAGTACCAAATTTGAAGAGTTTCAAAGCAGCTGAGTACCGAGATACCATTGAAGTGAGAATGAGAATTTTTTTTAAAAAACTGCTGTCCTCTTTCTTTCATTCTCTCCTCCTCCTCCTCCTCTCCTCTCTCCCCTTTGTTTTCTTCTCTCTTCTTTTCCCCTGTTCTTCTTCTCCTCTTCTTTTCCCTTTCTCTTCTTTTCACTTTGCCCTGTGTTCTCTTCTCTCCAATCTCATCTTCTCGTCCCTTCCCCTTCTATTCTTTTCTCTCTTCCCTTTTCTTTCTTCTTTCCACTTCTATCTCTGTCTGTGTGTCTATCTATCTATCTATCTATCTATCTATCTATCTATCTATCTATCTATCTATCTATCTATCTATCTGTCTATCTGCTGTCTGTCTATTCTGTCTGTCTATTCTATCTGTCTATCTATCTATCTATCTATCTATCTATCTATCTATCTATCTATCTATGTCTATTCTATCTGTCTATTCTATCTATCTATCTATCTATGTCTATTCTATCTGTCTATTCTATCTATCTATCTATCTATCTATGTCTATTCTATCTGTCTATTCTATCTATCTATCTATCTATCTATCTATCTATCTATCTATCTATGTCTATTCTATCTATCTATCTATCTATCTATCTATCTATCTATCTATCTATCTCATCTTTCTGTTATTTATCTATATTTATCTATATTTTTATCATCTACTGGAAAACACCTGAGGGTTATGGCATGAACAGTTCCTAAGAGTGTGCAACCTTTAGCTAGGCCAGCCTTAACACCTTTATGTACACAACACCTTCAGGCTTCCAAGGACTAATTTACCTGCGAGACCTTAATTCGGTTTCGAGTGGAGCCTTCCATCAACTCTGCCAGATCCGGATTCACGTTTTTCCCATCCGGATACAGGTAGCTACAGGATTAGATGGAGCACAGAGATATCTTTCAAATGACTTTCTCAACCTCAGCAGCTTTGAGATGTGTGGACTTCAACTCCCAGAATTCCTAGTTGGCTTCCTTTGGCCTAGTCCAGGGGTAGGCAACCTCGGCTCTTTTATGACTCGTGGACCTCAACTCCCAGAATTCCTGAGCCAGCCATGCTGAGGGGAAAGAGAGAGGTTTCCATGCTGAGCCATGCTGGCTCAGGAATTCTGGGAGTTGAAGTCCACGAGTCATGAGGGGGCCATAGTTCCCCCATGCTGACTCAGGAATTCTGGGAGTTGAAGTCCATCAGTCATAAAAGAGCCAAGGTTGCCTACCCCTGGCCTAGTCCCTCTCTCTCAGCCCAGCTCACCTCGCAGGGTTGTCGTTGTGGGGAAAAATAGGAAGAGGAAGGAATACAGGTCAACTTACAACTCCAATTGAGCCCAACATTTCTGTCGTTAAGTGAGACAGTTGTTAAGTGGATTTTGCCCCATTTTACGACCTTTCTTGTCATGGTTATTAAGCGAATCACTGAAGCTGTTAAGTTAGTGACACGGTTGTTAATTGAATCTGGCTTCCCCATTGAGTTTGTTGATCACATGGTCAGGAAAGGGGATCACATGATCCCAGGACATTGCAACCATCATAAACACGAGTCAGTTGCCAAGCGTCTACATTTTGATCACATGATCATGGGGAGGCTGCAAAGGTCATAAGTATGAAAAAGGGTCATCAGTCCCTTTTTTCAGTGTTGTTGTACCTTTGAACAGTCACTCAATGAATTGTCGTAAGTCAAGGACTGCCTGTATTAGGTATATTTGCCACTTTGAATTACTTACAAAGTTATAAAGGCGGAATAAAAAAAAAATCTAACAAATAGAAAAATAGAACTGTAAAGCTACGTTACTCCATAAATCCGAACTGGGAACAATTCAAACTCTTCGTTCTGGAGATTTTGCCCGTTCTGTTGCATCATTAGTTGATCCAGAAGAAAGCTATCAGGACTCTGTTATGGATTTCTGATCAAGGATAATCCTCTCATGTCCACTTGCCTCTCGGATACTTACAAGCCTTCCTTCTGTCCATCTACCAGGGCCTGGAAGAGAGACTTGTTCTGTGGGATGGTTTGCAAGATGTCTCCATCTGCCGTCACGTAGCCAATTGCCCATTGGCCCAGCCGGGTGCAACTGAGCCGGAAAATGTAACTGGGGGAGAAAGACAGCCAGAACTGAATCTGAAATTGGGGTGGTAGGAAGACCACAGGAGGAGATCTGGCTAGGCAGAATGCTTTGCACGCAAGCCAGTTTCAACCCGTGTTTGGAAGAGGTTAATCTAGGAAAAGGCAAGCTTCCTGCAGAATCTGGGGTTCTCAAACGTGGCCAATTAAAAATATTTAGACTCCAACTCCCAGAATTCCCCAGCCAAAGTCACATGATCACAATTTGCAATCTTCCCTGCTGGCTTCCCACACTGTCAATGGGGAAGCTGGCGGGAAATCGAACATTCGGATCACATGAAGCCCTCACATAATGACCCACAGTGGTTTGCTTAATGATGCTGATTTGGGACTGCCAAAACTCCTGTTGCTAAGCAGCGAGGCTACGTAAACATTGTGCTTCATGACCTCATTGCTGAACGATGGAAATTGGAGTCCCCATGTCCATTGTTAAATGAGGACTACCTGTAACAAGTTGTGTGTAGTTTTACAGTGCTTCCAGGAAAGACTGATTTTTTTAAAAAATATATTTTATTAAAGTTTATTATAAGATCTCATCAACTACCAGGGGCCTGAGAGAGCAACTCTTTTGAGATCCACCCCCCCCCCCAGATTAATAAAATCCATAGAGTTTACCTGCCAGGTTTGTTGACATATGCCTGCAACCGTGCCTTCACCTCGTCATAGGTGAGGAACGCCATGTAACCTGGATGTGTTACTGCTAGATACGTCCAGTTCTTCAACAGGGTTGGCCAAGGCTAGGAAGAGAAAAAAGGAGAAGAATTAGATGGGGAAGCAAAGGAGATTATAGAAAATGCCATCTTAAATTCAGATTCAATTGACTAGTTTAAAACAAAAAAAGAATTTGCCTTGGGATAAATCACAGTTTACTCTTCGCAGTTTTCTCATTCCACACAGCTGCTTGAGCCTGGCAACACTGATCATTTTGTGAAGTGTTGTCAGGCGTGAACAACAGGACCCGCACGTGCAGAATTCGAGCTAATTGCTTTACAATGTTCTGCCTAGAACAGAGGTCCCCAACCATGACCACTTTACCACTTGTGGACTTCAACTCCCAGAATTCCTCAGCCAGCCATGCCAGCCATGACTTGTGGACTTCAACTCCCAGAATTCCTCAGCCAGCCATGCCAGCCATGACTTGTGGACTTCAACTCCCAGAATTCCTCAGCCAGCCATGCCAGCCATGACTTGTGGACTTCAACTCCCAGAATTCCTCAGCCTGTCATGCTGGCTAGGGAATTCTGGGAACTGAAGTCCACGAGTCTTAAAGTTGTTAAGATTGGAGATCCCTGCTGGAGAGTATCTCCCAGTCTGGCAGACAACTCCTGGGAACAATTAGAGAACAATTAAGCTCCAAGGAACTTAAACCGGATCAGTCTAAGCCCTTTTGCGCTTGTGCAGTGACTCCAAATTAACTCTGCCCTTGATTCCTCCTCTCTGCCAGGGCTGGGTGCACCCTAAGATGTGTTGAAACGCAGAGCTCTTTGCAAAATGGATTTATTTATTAAAAGTACATCTTGTCTGGAGGCCACGGCAAGGTGCTGCAAACTCAGAGCGCTGGAGACGGTAGAACGCAACTTTTTCCACTGTGGTACCACCAATTGGCTGTGTGGCGAAAGAGGGGGGGGAGCGCCCACTTCCTCTGGACCGCCCGGTTTCCGCCACCAGTCCGTCCTGCCCTTCTGTTAGCCTGCACCCACAACCGCTCGGCTGGAAATGTTGTTTCTCTTCCTTTGGCTCTGAGATATTAGGATAGCCCAGAGACCCACTCTCTTTGGTTCCCCCTGGATGGGTCTTTCTGGAAATCCCCGCAAAGCGGTCAGTTCCGACGAAGCCGCCAATTGGAACCTGGTGGTTCTTTGACACCCATTCTTGCAGTTTTAGTTTGGTGCCTTAAGCCAGGAAGAGCTGTTTATTGAGCATCTCCGTTTTCAACCCACACAACAAGCAGCGCGCAGGCTTGTTTTTCAGAAATGGAAACATCGCCTCTGTGGGTTTGAGTTATTGACCCTCACTTTCCACCCACCCTGACAGCCTAGAAGGGTGGACTTTGCGAAGCCACATCCTGCCCGCAGTCAGCAATTCTCCGACAGAAAGGCAAGACAGAAGAGAGAGAAACAGCATCAAACAACAACAAGGATCTACAAGGCTGCTGTCTTCGCCCCCAATTCAGCTCGCTTGATCCTAAAATCTTCCAAATTTATTCTTGTTTCAAACACTTCGATAATTCCCCATGTGTGGCATGTTTCATTGTCAGTGTTAAATAGGAACATGGCTTGGTTTGGTGGTGAAGGCACCAAGATACAAACTAGGAGACTATGAGTTCTAGTCCCACCTTAGGCATGAAAGTCGGCTGGGTGGACTTTGGGCCAATCACCAGGTGACTGTGAGTTTTAGTTCAATCTTAGGCATGAAAGCTGGTTGGAGGGAATTTGGGCCAATCACCAGGTGACTGTGAGTTCTAGTTCCATTTTAGGCATGAAAGCCGGCTGGATGACCTTGAGCCAATCCTTCTCTCTCAGTTCGGCCCACCTTACAGGGTTGTTGTGGGGAAAATAGGAGGAGGGAGGAGTATCAGGTTATGTTTATTATAAAAAATAATAAAGGAAAAGAAAAGTTAAATAAATATAATTAAATAAACAGCTTCCCATGATCTACCTGGAAGAGACGAGTGAAGATGTCAAATTCAAATATGGAGATGTGGCCACTGCAGGTCAAGTCAATGGTGGACTTCAGGGCTATGGCCATTGGACCAGAATCTACTGGATGAACCTGCTGGAGACCTTTTTGAAATTCAGACCAGGGAACCAGGCTTCTACGGAGAAGAAAGAAACAATGGTTGCAGCTGCCAAAAAAGGCCAACACAGTGCTGGGTTGCATTAACAGAGGGATAGAATCAAGATCACATGAAGAGTTAATACCACTTTACAAGGCTTTGGTAAGGCCACACTTGGGATACTGCATCCAGTTTTGGTTGCCACAATGTAAAAAAGATGTTGAGACTCTAGAAAGAGTACAGAGAAGAGCAACAAAGATGATTAGGGGACTGGAGGATAAAACATATGAGGAACGGCTGCTGGAACTGGGTATGTCTAGTTTAATGAAGAGAAGGACGTGGGGGGACATGATAGCAGGGTTCCAATATCTCAGGGGCTGCCCCAAAGAAGAGGGAGTCAAGCTATTCTCCAAAGCGCCTGAAGGCAGGACAAGAAGCAACGGATGGAAACTAATCAAGGAGAGAAGCAACCTAGAACTAAGGAGAAACTTCCTGACAGTTAGAACAATTAATCAGTGGAACGACTTGCCTCCAGATGTTGTGGGTTCTCCATCACTGGAGGTTTTTAAGAAGAGATTGGACAACCATTTGTCTGAAATGATATAAGGTTGAGCAGGGGGTTGGACTAGAAGACCTCCAAGGTCCCTTCCAACTTTATTATTCTGTTTGTATGGCAAGCCGAGAGTGGGACCCAGGGGAATTGCAAAGTGAACTGAAGCGATATTTATGCATGTTTCAGCATCCTGTGAAGAAGTGTACAGAAGGAAGTCTGAAAAATGTCCAAGAAAGTGATATGGAGATCTCTTTATAGATCTTCCATTTCCAAGGTGGGGGAATCAGAGATATCATTAAACCATTTCAGTTCAAAGGTTGATGCTCTTTTTTGTTATGGTCAGCACGCACGCATGCACACACACACACACACAGTGCCTCACAAGGATTTATGAAAAGGTAATAACTTGTTTATGCTTTATTTTTCTAGGCTGATAGGCCCTTTCTATCCAACGTCAACTCTAAGAGGCTTTCAATCCTATCGATTCTAGATAAACAGGATTATAAAGTAGTGGCTATCACCAACCATAGCATCATAAAACATCGACAGAAAACGCACTTAGAATCCAATCCAAACCAAAGAACAACAATATTCAACTGTGCTTCGTTAATCAAGAGAGAATCCAAATCAATTTGAACTTTTAAAGGCTTGTTGAAATGATTTTGTATGGTTTTTTTTTCCCAATCCCGATAGAATTGGGCTGAATCGAAAGTTTTTTCCAGAAAAAAGACCAAGGATTATGAAAGCTCACCTCAAAAACTGTGTGCATAATATTTATTTATTCATTTATAAAATCTATCAACGGCTCATCTTACTACAAGATAACTCTGGGGCAGGGGTGGGCAACCTTGGCTCTTTTATGACTCGTGGACTTCAACTCCCAGAATTCCTGAGCCAGCCATCCTAAGGGGAAAGGCAGAGATTTCCAAACTGAGCCATGCTGGCTCAGGAATTCTGGGAGTTGAAGTCCACGAGTCATAAAAGAGCTAAGGTTGCCTAGCCCTGCCTGGGGACTTACAATCGTTAGTCCTCCACTTACAACAGTTCGTTTAGTGACTGTTCAAAGTCACCACGGCACTGAAAAAAGCGACTTGGGACTATTTTTCAGACTTACAACCATGGTCACGTGATCAAAATTCGGATGCTTGGCAACTGACTCATATTTACAACGGTCGCAGCATCCCGGGGTCACATGATCCCCTTTGGCGACCTTCTTCCAAGCCAAGTCACTGGGGAAGCCGGATTCACACAACAACTGCGTTACTCACTTAACAAGGGCGGCAATTCACTTAACAACTGTGGCCAAAAAGGTCGTAAAGTGGGCCAACACTAACTTAACAAGTGTCTCGCCGAGCGACAGAAATTTTGGGCTCAGCTGTGGTCGTAAGTCAAGGACTTCCTGTCCTATTGATGGAAACAGATCTCATCGCCCGGGAAGGAGTTGCCAAGGTCTTGTAAAACTGGTTTTCGGGTGCTCACCGTTCTCTCCAGGTGCACCTCCAGAAGACTTGGGCCTCTTGCTTGCTCAGCTGGTACGTGCTGCCTTGGTCCTCCCTGTTGGGAAACACGGCTTGTAGTTCAGCCAACATGTGACTGAAGATCAGGGAGAGCTTTGTTAGATTCCTCCTGGAAGCAGACGTGAAGGAAAAGTTAAATTACCGTTAATACCATTTAACAACGCCTTGATAAGACCACACTTGGAAGACTGCATCCAGTTCTGGTCACCACAATATAAAAAAATATGTTTACTCAAGAAACAACGTTGGTGCAGAAGAAGAAGAATAAAAGCAGATACCCAATACAGGGAGTCTTCAACTTTTTACCACGATGTAAAAAAGATGTTGAGACTCCAGAAAGAGTTCAAAGAAGAGCAACAAAGATGATCAGGGGACTGGAGGCTAAGACATATGAGGAACGGTTGCAGGAATTGAGAATGTTTCATAAAAAGGAGGACTAGGGGTGACATGATAGCACTGTTCCAATATTTGAGGGGTCAAGCTATTCTCCAAAGCACCAGAAGGCCAAACAAGAAGCAAGGGATGGAAACTAATCAAAGAGAGAACTAACTTAGAACTAAAGTGGAATTTCCTAATGGTGAGAACAGTTAACCAGTGGAACGGCTTCCTTCCAGAAGTTGTGGGTGCTCCATTGCTGGAGGCTTTTAAGAAGAGAATGGACAGCCCCTTGTCTGGAATGTATAGGCCAGTGGTTCTCAACCTGTGGGTCGGGACCCCATTTGGGGTCGAACGACCATTTCACGGGGGTCGCCAAACAACGCAGTCCGCCATTTTTTTTCCCCCTTTTCCTTAGCTGTGCTATTCCCTTTTATTCTATTGGCTTTTGAAAGCCAATCGAATAGACTCTCTTGAATAGAGTCTAATTCTATTGGCTTTCAAAAGTCAATAGGAATTGTCCAGGCTGTCTCTGCCCTGCTGAGCCCACCAAAAGTCCCAGTCTGCAAATGGTGCTGCACCAGTTGAGTAGTCCTTGACTTACGACTGGTTGAGTAGTCCTCGACTTACGACCGGTTGGGGATCGCAGCATTAAAAAGGTTGAGAACCACTGGTATAGAGTCTCCTGCTTGAGCAGGGGGTTGGACTAGAAGACCTCCAAGATCCCTTCCAACTGTTTTATCCTTTACCTGCCAACTTCAGCAAACCTGCAAATCTATAATGGTTTGCCGAGAAAGAGAGCGAAAGAAAAGAAAAGCCTGGTCAACATTAATCCTGTTAACAGATTTCCAGCTTTGGCCTGGAGAAAATTTAATTTGTTCGGGTCTCACCTGCCTGCCAGAAACAAAGAGGTCAGTTTTAATACTCTCTTTGCTCGGAGTCTGAAAACTCTACAGTGTGAAGGTGAACAGCAGCACAGGCAGACAAATAACATCAAAGAATTTCCTTCACCGCCCTTGAATGATGATGGAAGGACATCAACAAAGGGAAGAGCTGATGCAGGAGGCATGTTGAGAAAGCTCATTGAAAACCTGGGACCCCAAATTTCATCTTTGGGCCCCAGACTTCCTCTTTAAAAAGATCCATTTTACAGACGGGGTAAATGTATCATAGACTGAGTCTTGAGCATCCTCATCAGATTTATCCAGAAGTGGGCGGCGTGTAACCCCAATTTCTTTTTCTTGCAACCGTTCGAACCACTAAAAACAGGGGGAGCATTTATATTTACATTATATTTGTATTATATTATACATACTATAATACATCCTCCCAGGCCTGTTTACTGTCAGCTCAAAGCAAACATTGTTGGTTTGTAAACCGTTTGTGGCTTAGCTCAATGACTGGGCCCAGTGATCCATGCCTTAGTCAGAAATCTAGGCTTAAGCAAAGCAGGGGTGTCAGTGGGGCTGATGGTGTGGGAAGGTCAAATAAGTCAAGATGGCGGCGGCTACGGTGTGGCCTGGTTTTTCAGACCCCCTGCCCTTTGCAGCCACCCCCTTAATAAACCATGGCTTAGCCTGATGTGGGAAGCCAGACAAGGATTGGGAGAGTAATAAATAATAACTTGGCCGACTGACCTGATTCAGACCCAGCTACCTTTACTCTTATTTTGCAAAGAGCAAATAGTTCTGCTACTGTATATAGAAAATTACATATTTTGAGGCAGGCTAATTACTCAATGCAGACCTAGAGGGTGCCAAAGGTAATTTGATAAGCTGGCACTCCCTTCCCCCCCCCCCAAAAAAAACCCAGCCTGGTTTTTCTCTCTGGCACCTGTGAATTTAGCTTTTTATCTGAGAGGGCCTAAGGGAGGAGAGGAGAGGCTGGTTATCAAACTACCATATCACCATTGATAAAGGAGAAACAGAACAGGGTTTAACAATGCCTATGTTACTGAGCTATACTTTTTACGCTGGATACGGGGCCAAAGTGACTGAATAACAGAGTTGGAAGGGACCTTGAAGGTCTTCTAGACCAGCCCCCTGCTCAAGCAGGAGATCCTATACCAGTGGTTCTCAACCTGTGGGTCGGGACCCCATTTGGGGTCGAACGACCATTTCACGGGGGTCGCCAAACAACGCAGTCCACCATTTTTTTCCCCCTTTTCCTTAGCTGTGCTACTCGCTTTTATTCTATTGGCTTTTGAAAGCCAATAGAATAGACTCTCTTGAATAGAGTCTAATTCTATTGGCTTTCAAAAGCCAATAGGAATTGTCCAGGCTGTCTCTGCCCTGCTGAGCCCGCCAAAAATCCCATTCTGCAAACAGTGCTGCACCAGTTGAGTAGTCCTCGACTTACGACCAGTTGAGTAGTCCTCGACTTACGACCGGTTGGGGGTCGAGGCATTAAAAAGGTTGAGAACCACTGCCCTATACAATTCTGGACAAATGGCTGTCCAATCTTCTCCATTGTACAGTTCTCTGTTGGAAAAGCAGTCTAAGGTAGTGTTTTTCAACCTTGGCAATTATAATAGGGGTGGACTTCAACTCCCAGAATTCCCCAGCAGAAGAGGGAATTCTGGGAATTGAAGTCCATACATCTTGAAGTCACTGACTTTAAGAAACACTGCACATTTAGTGCAAAACAAAGATTTGCTATCCATTTTTCCCTGCATGGAGATACTGATTTACAGTATGATGATGATGGGTTATGATAATACTGGAGTTATTCTACTTTATTAGGACATAAAATATATATTTTTTTCTATTTCTATTTGCTTTCACTCTCCACTTTGAAATTTGCCTTGCTGTCCCCTTCAATTTTTTCCCTCTTCATTAGCTACATTTAAACGAATGAATAAACAATAATTATATATTGTAGCTAGTTGAAACTGGATAGTTTTAATATTTTAAAACTTTTTTTTTAGAGTTCGCCCAAAGCCACTCTAAGCGGCTTGCAGACACTGATGTAAACGCACGCCAAAGCATTAAAACAATAAAGAGAGATCCTGCATTTTAAAAAAATGCAATGGAAATAAAATGAATGATTATAAAAATATTCTTTTTTGCCCTTTTAACCTACATTTATAGTTTGGACAATAGATTTCTTTTTCTCTTTCCTCCGTTCTGCTGGACTTGGAGATGTATGTATTTAAAAGATTTATTTGGCTGCCCATCTTAGGTAGCTTCACCCAGGCTAGGCCACAAAGAATATTTAGGCAGATATTTAATTAGACTTGTTCTATTGATCAGTTTTGCATCACTGTTATCCATCTGTATAAGGGGGGTGGGTCTGATTTTGCAGTTGGAATACAGACCCTAAACTTTATTTTTCGGGTTCTCTCCAATCTGTTCCATTCCAGAAGTCTGCCATAACAGTTTAACATCCCATATTTCATCTTTCTATTATTATTATTATTATTATTATTATTATTATTATTATTATTATTATTATTATTACTACTACTACTACTACTACTACTACTACTACTACAGGGGTCATCTACAATTAGATTCACCAAGACTGGGGAACACTTCATAATTCAAATCCTAACTATGGACCGAAGCATTATTAAGCTAGCGCTTGAGAAAACAGGTATATATTTATTTTAATTTACTAAGTTTTTATGCTGCCCAGCTTCCCTCTAAGGTGAATCTAGGCGGCTTACAAATTATAAAATGAGTAAAAAGATCATCCAAATATTAAAAACGACACCGTTTCAATGAACTGCAAAGTATCGTTATTGTTTGTTTATTGAATAAATCGACGAATCCACTAACCATAATTGTGTACTGTAGCTAACTGAAACGGTGGCATTTTAATATTTTAAAACTATATATATATATATTTTCAGAGACAGTCAAAGGCGGCTCTGAGCGGCTTCCAGACATGGATGCAGATGCACGCCAAAACGTACAAGCAATAAAGATTTTTTTTTTAAAAAAAAATGCAATGCAAATAAAACGAGCGCAGATTAAAATATTCTTTTCTTTACCTGGCAGCCGAGGCTTCCTGAAAAATCTCCTCTTTGTCTTTCCCTCTTTTGAACAGCTGCGTGGCTTGCTTAATCTTCTCCAGCAGATTCAGGAGGAAGATCCGAAAGAATTCGGATTCCCAGAGCTGGGCCAAACCGGTCCCATAGTGCTCCCGAATAAGCTTCAGGTGCTGGTAAATCTGGGGCAAGAGGGAGGGCAGGTGAGGTGGGCTATTCCGAAGCGCCATCTGAGGTTGGCACACCAGCTGTTGGAGCTTGGTTAACCCCTGGAAGGCTTTCTCCAAGGATCGGTGCGCTCCCGTCCGGCGAGGCATCCAAGCTGGGCCAGGTGCCATTGCCATCTGGAATTCCCAGGTGAGCGAAGGAAGGCGGGGGAGCTTGCCAGCTTACTGCTGCCAGCCTAGAGGTTAGCGAGGGCACTGCTGTGCCAGCCCAAAGAGCTGGAAGGAAAGAAAGAAGGGAGGGAGGGAAAGCACTGGAGGATCACAGTGACTAAGGCGATGAGTAGTGAAGAGGGGGAGAGAAGCCAAGAGGAAATAAACAACGACTTCAGAGCATCAGAGTCCTGACAACACACACACACACACACACACACACACACACACGGGCCACAAAGCAGGGGGTGAAGTCAGCAATTGGGGTGGACGTGTCGAGGCTTGCAAGGAAGGAAGAACAGGTTGGTCGGGCTGTTTCGAGGCAGGCAGTGGGTCCCGTTTACAAAGTTCAGCTTTGGGAATTGGGCGCGGGGAGCATGCCAGCGCTAAACAAATTGCAAAATAAAATCAATGAATACAACAACACTCCTGGTCCTGAGAAGGGGGAAGACTGGAGGCTAGCAACCTTGGACAGAGGTTTCTCCTGGGGTTTCATCCCCAGAGCAGGTCAAGGCCTGGGGAGGGGAAAAAAAAAAAAAAAAACAAGTCACATTTTCCCATCTGAAAGCTCTTTCAGTAGATTTTAATCAGTGCCTATGTGCCGTTTGTTGCATTGCGACTCTAAGAGTGGCTGGGGTTGGGTTTTTTTTTTTTTTCCCCCCATCCTGTTCTATTTGGGCCAAGTCAAGTGAAGGAGGAGGTGATTCACGGCGTGAAAGAAATCTGTGGTGTGACCAAAAAACTCTGTTGTAGTCCAGTTTCCCTCCTGCCCCAAAAGTCTGAGCTGATAAAAAACAGACCAAATTAAGACCTTGTTGTATTAGTTGGTTGCTTTAAGATGGACAATGAATTGAATGGAGAGGGAGGGAGGGAGGAAGGAAGGAAGGAAGGAAGGAAAGAAAGAAAGAAAGAAAGAAAGAAAGAAAGAAAGAAAGAAAGAAAGAAAGAAAAAAGGGAAGGAAGGGGGGAACGAAGGGAGTAGGAGAAGTGAGGGAGGAAGGAAGACAGGAAGGAATGGAAAGAGACAGAAAGAGTTTGAAAGAGAGAGAGAAGAAAGAAAAAGAGAGAGAGAGAGAGAGAGAGAGAGAGGACAGACATTTTAAAATTATTTTTGCACATTTAAAAAGATCCAAAAGTCCTGCCTTTGTGAACTCAGGAAATGGAGATCTGATGCAGACAAATATAATCCGAGCTTTCCTCCATCAGCCTTAATCACGGGCTGGTCTTATTTGTGTCTTTACCAATTGAAAATTGATTGATTTTAGTAGTAGTAGCAATAGTAGTAGTAGTAGTAATAATAATAATAATAATAATAATAATAATAATAATAATAATAATAATAAAGTTGGAAGGGACCTTGGAGGTCATCTAGTCCAACCCCCTGCTCAGGCAGAAAACTCTACTGAGAGGTATGTTATGTTATTATTTGGAGTGCTTATTTTGTAAACGATGCTATTCTTTTGGGTTTTCACCCTTTGTTCCTTGCTTAGAATAGCTTTTCCTGAGATGAGCAGCTGCCATCATTGTTTAAATAAATAAAAACAACTAAGTAAACATGAACCAGGTGATCTCAAGCAATGTCAGCCTCAAGTTTATTTTTCACTTGTAGCTTCAGTGAACAAAACAGTCCTGTAGAAAGCAAAGTCCAATATAACTCGACATTTCTTGGGCAATGCTCAACAATGACGTTCTTTGATCAGTTGCATTTACCACACACACACACAAATTACCAAAGCCATTAAAAAAGTATTCCAAAAAAGCTACATATTTTTGTATGCAAACCTACCGAACTTTCAGATGATCAGTAAACCCCTCTTCAGATTATACAAGCTGTGGGCTACTGGCGCAGAGGAACATCCGCAGGGTGTGTTCAAAAAAGTCAAAATGGCTGCTTTAATCACACGGTGGTGGAGACCATTTTGACTTTTTTGACCTCACCCTGCAGACCCTTCTGCTGTTGCTTGCCAGCCATCTTGACAAGTGGCTAAAGAATGCATTCATTTGCCCACACTTGCCTCAGGCTTCAGGGCCACTGTTTATGACAGCGTTCTTCAACCTTGGCCATTTTCAGATGTATGGACTTCAACTCCCAGAATTCTCCAGCCAGCCTGGGGAATCCTGGGAGTTGAAGTCCTCATGCCATAAAACTGCTGAGGTTGAGCAACACTACATTAAACCTAACAGGCCACAAGAGGGCGCAAGAGAACCCAGCTACAGCAGTTGTGATTTAGTCAACCAAATAAGTAAACCATGATTTAATTTGGGGTACCATAAACACCCACAAAAAGCCAATCACCAAATTAGCATTGTGTTATGGCAATGCCACCTCTACCCTATTGTGTGCAAGTAATCCTCAGCTTACAACAAAAAGCCAATCACCAAATTAGCATTGTGTTATGGCAATGCCACCTCTACCCTATTGTGTGCAAGTAATCCTCAGCTTACAACAGTCTGTTTAGAGACGGTTTAAGTTAAACTGGCACTGAAAAAAGCAATTTATGGCCGTTTTTCACACTTACGACCGTTGCAGCATCCCCAGGATCACGTGATCAAAATTCAAGCGACTCGTATTTATGACGGTTGTGGCATCCAGGGCTCAGGTGATCGCCTTTTGCGACCTTCTGGCAAGCAAAGTCAATGGGGGAAAGCCAGATTTGTTTAACGACCATGCTACTAACTTAACAGCTGCAGCGATTCATTTAACAACTGTGGCAAACGTGGTTATCAACGGGGCAAAACTCACTTAACAAATGTCCGGCTTAGCAAATTAGAAAATTGGGGCTCCATTGTGGTTGTAAGTCAAGGACTACCTGTACTCTAAAAAGAGCTATTGGCCAAATCTCTTTTCCAAAACAGGGGTGAAATAAAACCGATATTCAGTGAAAAGCTAACCCAGCACTCACTGGGATTTAATCTTTGCAACAGAGGTGTGGTTTCTTGGGTAAAGTTCAGCCCGGTCTAAGAATAGCTATTCTGAAAGTAAAGTACCTTGAACTACCGGGCATTTTTTTTCTCCCCAGCGGCCGCCATGGAAACCAGTCACGCAACGTCTGTGGCTAGATTGGGACACGATCCCAGAACTTTTGAGATAATCCGTCTGGGCAATCTTGAACTTGTTTGCTTCACCGATTACAAAACCAGCCTTGAGCAAGAATGTCTCAGGAAGTTGAACCTTTCCCTTATGACTCCAAGAACTGGGAGTATTAAAAAAGGCCCTTTGTTCGTGTTCCGAGATGCTTCTTTTTGCCCACTCGAGGTAGTCAGCAGGGCCCTATTTTTCAACCTTAGCAGCTGTAAGATGTGTGGACTTCAACTCCCAGAATCCCCTAGACAGCGTGCTAAAGAGCTTGAAGATTGTGGACTTCAATTCCCAGAATTCCTCAGCAAGCATGCTAAGAAACTGTAAGACGAGTGGACTTCAACTCCCAGAATCCCCTAGGCAGCGTGCTAAAGAGCTTGAAGATTGTGGACTTCAATTCCCAGAATTCCTCAGCAAGCATGCTAAGGAACTGTAAGACGAGTGGACTTCAACTCCCAGAATCCCCTAGGCAGCGTGCTAAAGAGCTTGAAGATTGTGGACTTCAATTCCCAGAATTCCTCAGCAAGCATGCTAAGGAACTGTAAGATGAGTGGACTTCAACTCCCAGAATCCCCTAGGCAGCATGCTAAAGAGCTTGAAGATTGTGGACTTCAGTTCCCAGAATTCCCCAGATAGCCGTGTCGCCATCTTGACTTTTTTGACCAACCCCTGCAAATACTCCTTCCAGGGCTCTTTCTGTTCCAGAAGGAAGCATGCTGGTAAGTGGAAAAGGGCTTGAAACTTTGAAAATATTTGTGGTTGGCAGATTTGAATGAGCTGAGCCTGGCCTGGGCACGTTCACCACATGGCAGCCTTGCCCAAACAGCTGCCAGCCTCAAAATACCAACTTCACAAAAGGTATCTTGTGGGGTTTGTCCTCCACCCCTCCCTCTGTGACCTCATTTTTTCTTCTGCACAGGTGGACATATTTCCAAAGAGGTTTTGGATCACAGACCAAAATTTTCATTGCTAAGCAAAGTGGTTAGAATAGAATAGAATAGAATAGAATAGAATAGAATAGAATAGAATGGAACAGAATGGAATAGAATAGAATAGAATAGAATAGAATAGAATAGAATAGAATAGAATAGTAGACTGGACTGGACTGGACTAGACTAGACTAGACTAGACTAGACTAGAATAGACTAGACTAGACTAGACTAGACTAGACTAGAATAGAATAGAATAGAATAGAATAGAATAGAATAGAATAGAATAGGAGCTGGAAAGGAGAAAGCAGAAAGCAGAAGGAGAAATGAGGTGCAGATACAAGGAAATTGAAAAGTCGCCCTTCTATTTATTACTGTAACCACTAGAGGGAATTATTGTTCTAATTTTTCCTACCGTCTGCAATAGAAGTGTGTGTCCTAAATCTTTTTCTCTGCTCATCCAAATGATCTGTTGAAAATCAGTGTTTAAAACAGTGGTTCTCCACCTGTGGGTCGGGACCCCATTTGGGGTCGAATGACCATTTCACGGGGGTCACCAAACCACGCTGTCCGCCATTTTTTCCCCTTTTCCCTAATTGTCCTACTCCCTCTTATTGGTGGCCATACCCACTTGGCCACACCCCTGGGGGTCACCACAACACGGGGAACTGTATTATGGGGTCACGGCATTAGAAAGGTTGAGAACCACTGGTTTAAAAGATGACATTGAAAGGATGTTCTGTGAAATGCAAGCTTTTTTTTTTCTTTTTTTAAAAAAATGATTAGGGTAGAGGAATCCTGGGTTCCCACATTGGGTAAACCTCAATCTACATATATTTGGGGTGGCTTAACACGTGAGTGAACTCAAGTGTTGTTGCTTAAGTCTAGTAGCTAAGCCAGTAGGTGTGAACGGCCTGGGGATGGCTATGTAATCCTTTTTCTAAAGTTGCCCCACCGCACTTTGCCAACCAACCACGCAGACAATAACATAGGCTGATTCACATGTAAATAAGGAGTTTGTGTCCTAAGAAACGGAGCATCCTCTACAAATGTTTCTCAACCTTTGACAGCTT